AAATTGATGAGATGAGTAAGTTGATATACTTCGGAAAGAATAAAAGTATCGAGTCTTACACTTTTATTTTACTCGTTTCTGTATTTTAAAAAAACTCAATTCAGAATTTTACACATAATGAATAGCAATTCAAACAATGAAATGAAGTTAATCATATTGACCTAACTCGAAATTGGATTTTCGAATACAACATCTTTTGAATATTTGCTATCTTCTCTGTTGATTCTTCATCTTTTTCCATATATTCCAATACATCCAAGGTTATTTTCTTCAATTGATAAACATCAGTTGCCAATTTTTTCCATTCATTAAAATCTAATAATGTATTGATGTTGTATTTATGCGTAATTAATCGAATATGTCGAATAAAGTTCATATGTTTGATAAAATCAATCACTGTCATTATACAACATGATTGATCATGTAGCCAACAATCTGGAGTAGAAAATAACGGGAAGTTTCTCATATCAAGAAGATAATATTCGATAGAAAAATTTTGTGAAAAAATTGTGTTGGATGAAATGATATCCGAATGAATACAAACTAATGCTGGACAATGAATTTCAAATTGTTTGATCGAATGTTTCAGATTAGAGAAGATTTTACTCAAAAAACGAAGACTGACTTCATTGTCATACCAAAGACAAAGACGCATCAATTTAGGAAAATATATTTCGTACTTAGAGACTAATTCAAATTCTTGAAAGTTGAGAAGATTCAATGAGATAATATTACTAAAAACAATTAATGAGTCTGATGCTGAACTTGTTTCGTACCAAACTCTACTAAGACGTAAGGAAATGATTTGTTCAGGGTTGAGTTTTCGAAGAATCATATTAATAAATGCATTAGAAGGTTCACAAATCTCTACTTGAGTTTTAAATTGGCGTATTATAGGAAAAATATTAGGAGAAAATAGATTAATTGTATCGTTTAATGACAGATATTTGAATAGTTCAAAAATAATATTCCAACAAAGACCAGTCTTGGCAATAAAGTTAAATGACTGAAATGAAAAACAAATAAAAGAATTTTTCATTTGTTCCATATCTCAGAACTGTTCTTCTTTGTATGTTGCATGAAACTGACTAAAAATATCAAACAAATACTCACTAAAGCTCGTTCATTGTCTTCAAATTCTTCTTTGAAAATAGCCAATTCATTAAGTACATTTTCTCGACTAGATTTCTCTTGAGTTCGTATTAAAGTATCGCCTTGAAGCAATATTTTGACTTGATATTCAGATATTAACGGATCATCCCATCTCTGTACAAAACGTGGCATGATTCCAATCACCATTGGATATTGTTCCGCATTAGAGCTAATCGAAAGTTCTGCCGAGAACATTTCATGCCAAATTTTTCTCAATCTAATTGCAAAAATAATCAAATCGTTTAAAAAGATTTGATCTCATTTTGGGAAAAGAATAAAAGTGCATGAAAAAAAATTTTCTGTGAAGAAATTTTTTAGATATTGATAAATACATTTTTAAAATGTTGACTTTGCATATCAACAAATGATACATGACTTACGTAGTGACGTATTTCGCGGAGGGCTCAGACACCCTAGAAAGATCTTGTCCTTCCCTCTAGAAAAAAAGTAAACCCTATGGATGAATGGGTTCAGCTCAGAGATGGAACCGGTCTCTATTGGCAACGCACGATATATCGATAATTTACAGCACTAGAAAAAGAGTAGTTTGAATATAGAAAATGTAGTTCTTCGTGTGACAAACTTGATATAGAGATGGAATCAATCTGAATTTTCGAGGACCAGTACTGGTACTAGTCTGAAAAGGTGAGACAGGTCGGTCTGAAACTCGTACAGATATCGGACTGGACCAGTTGGTAACTGGGACCGATCCCATCTCTGGTTCAGCCCCTGCTCTCTCGCAGAATTTTTTTCGGGCTACGCTACTAGACTTACCTATTTCGATTCAGTTTCAAAGTAGTATCCCATGGTCATACAATATAGTTTTCAAGTAAATAATCGATAATAACAGTCGATGTGAATATTTTATAGCAAAATACGTTATTGAACATACTTTTGTCATTGTGTATATAGACAAGTACAGGGCGATACTAAATTGAAATACATTTGTTTTTCGTAATAACAAAAGAGATTTGAACGAACTTCTTCAATTCGTATTGAGCTTAAAGCTTCTTGACATGCATCTTGAAGAGAACCCATGAAGAATGCTGGACAAGTATTATAACGTCGCTGGAAACATTGATAAAAAGTTTCAATATCAGGAACTTCATTTTCGAATACTTCGGGAACTGTTAGATGATTTATCAGTGAAAAGTTAATCATTTCCTTTTGATAAACGAAGGATAACTTACAAGAATCGTAAGTGATAACTTCATCGTCATTATCAGAACAATCGCTGTCGCTTTCTCTTGATCTCTTTTCCTAGAGAGAAAAATTCAAAGAATTGCTTTTTGAAGATTTCAATATAGAGCTTGGCAGAATCAAATCATTTTAATATTTCATGTTTCTTGAAAGTTTTGTAATAGCTAAACTACAATGAATTGTACCCGATTTTATTCGTTCATGTCCTGTTCATGAATAATCTTCATTTATACGTTAAAAACTATAAGATTTCGAGCTTTACAAAACTTCAAACTTTATTTCTCAAATAAATTTTCATTGCTGGTGTTTAATTAAAAGAATTCACATTTATGCAGTCCTTCAATTGCCATTTTCTACTGACACTTATCATTATTTTTTGGGTGTACATTAGAAAATCATATTGTTGAAAGTCCGATTGACTCTACGAAAGATCTAAAATTCTAAAACATACAATCAGATGTTCAAAATTTTTGTATCGTAATGTAAAGTGCACTTGAACTATTGTTTACCAGAAGAAAAGCCTATTTGTAAAACAAAGTCAGTAGTTTTATGGAGGCTGAAATGTAAGAATGAATATTTTTCATCAGCAGGAAGTAAATAAAAAAAAACAGCAAAAGGATTTAGTACAATTCATTAGGACTGATTCGTTAATTTCAAAAATGATCATCAACGTGAAATGATTATTTTATGCAATCTACAAAATAAACATCTTACCATTATCACTGCTGACTTTCTAGCTACTAAGAGAAGAGATTGTCTAAATAATCAAACACGTACACGTCCGCAATTATATGTTGACAAAAAGTAAAAGTTATACTGTCGTTTAAGAATAGCTAAAAAATGAAATGCTTAAATAGACTTGGGAAAAAAATCCAGTTTTTTTCTTCCAACATGACATGCATCATGCTTTTTGTTGGAATTATTTTTATGTGTCTATCAAGGGAAAGAGAAATAGAACGCAAAATGCAGGTGTAATTTTTTATCACTTTTTCTACAGGTAAATTCCAATGCGTCACAACAACAAAAACCGATTGTGCAATTTCAACCAAAATATTTTCTTACGTCAAAACATAACCAATCACGTTTCAAATCAAAAGAGTGCATTTTATAAGAGGTGAAATTGATTTTCTATAGAATTACGAATATTTCAACTAAAGCAAGCTGTACATTATTGTATACCTCATTTCGTAACTTATATATCCACGTCAGAGATATGTATCTTAATTTTGTCGTATAATAATATTAAGATGTCCATACTTAAATAAATATATCCGCTGGTGATTTTTCTATTGATTCTTTTCATTTTACGTCCTGTGAGACTTCCATAGATCATTTTGCCATCTTTGGCTATCACTTAGAACAAAAAGCCACCAAACAGTGGTTCTTTCTTAACTGGACTATGTGGTCAACAGAATATAGAGCATATTAAGATGTCAGCTTCTGTTGCTTCTAGTGAGTGAAACTAATTTTGAATTGTAATTAGTTTCATTACAATAGGTAAGCTATCACTAGTTGTAGCGAATGATGCGGATGTGAGTATAGTTTGGGTGTCTTCTTCGCTGCCACTCACTCACACTCACACTCATACAAGTGGAGTAATTCATAAAGACACTTTCACCATACGCATGAAATCCATTGATTCATGTTGCTGAAAATATTTCAAAGAGTCAACAGTCGAAGAGAACTATTATGTTCCATGAATGCTTTATATGTCGAGTGACTCATAATATGAAAGATATTTCGTACTGCTGATTTTTCCAGAAAGACATTTGAGATTCTGCTGTTCTTTCTACGTTAATTCTTACTACTATGTTCCTCGCTATATTTAGTCGTATTTTTGCATGCAACTAGAAATAGAGTTTCTCGGTTAAAAATAAATACTTGAAAATGAATTGCATGTTCTTTTTTTTCATTGCAACGTGAAGTATATGTGAAAGAAATTTTTATTGTTTTTTCCTAGTAGTCCTCTCAAAATACGACAATTCATTTTATGTTCTGATAGTTTAAAGCTTCTTTTTAAGTAAAGTCTAATCGTTCAAGTGAATCAACGGAATAAAACAAAAAAATACGACAACTATTTTACCAAATTGGAATTCGACTAAGAATTGAGTATCAACCATGGAGTGTGACGTTTTCAAATGAAAAACATATAAAAAAAAAACGTCGATTTTGTCTTAGCTGTTTATGATTTCTAAGTCTTTGCCTTTTTCTTTATTTGCAGATGGTAAACAAAATTATGAGCAATTTTAGTGACTAGAAGCGCAATCAAATAATTGTGTATGAGTTGTTTTTGATGATTTGTGAGGCAGAGATAACTTTAATTTCTTATGGGCCTATGCACGTTAATGAATGTCTACTTTGGCTAATCTATTACGTGCGATTCTAATTGTGTAGTTATTTTCTCGGCATGAAATGTCGATGTATTTTTTACTGAAAACATCTCTTTCCAGAGTAGGAAATACTCTTTATTATCATTTCATATGATATCTATCTATCTTCTTTGTCTTTTTTCTTTGCACCATAGGTTATGATGAAAGCACTGATACACTGCGACGATAGTTTCATTCCTGTAGTCGAAACAAAGAATAATGTATGTCAACCTTCATATTTTCGAAAATACAATGATGAATTGATAAAGTACATATTGATTAATATTCAATAGGAAGTCCATGACTTGTCCGATATGTAATGCAGTTTTGTCTAACAGTATTACGTAGATAAATAACAATTGAAGATGCAACCCAACCCTCGACAGCTAATGTCTGTCCGTTAACGCAGTCTTTAATGTAGTCACCAATTTTATTCCAATCGTGCTCTGTACCACAACCGTTCATATTCAATGAATTTTGTAAATCTCTATTGATATGATAATTTGCCATTATCGATTCACATAATCGACGTGCTATGTAATCATTCACGATCATACCAGCGATTGCCTGTGGTGGAATATAATACATATAGGTTATAGAATTAGCAAAAATATAGGTAGATGCGGAACATGCTTGAAGTATCTTTGGCCAATCACCTATTTCTTTTAAGAATGGATCAACAAATGCTGCCACAACCTTATCCAGCCAAATAGAACTATTTAATGAATTTTTCTCAAGACATGATTGTTTAGCGATACATTTTTGGTTGATAATGAATCCATTTTTATGTGCACCCATTGGTGTCGGTAATTTTTCGAGATCTGTCACTCTTGTATAGCATTGATCGTCTATTGGCATATAGTACAGAATTAAAGTATCACTAGCTGAACATGAATTAACTGTTCCATCCACTCGTAACACATTTTTTCCAACTTTTAAAGTGACTTGTGCAGATCCAGAACCAAAAAATTGCATTAATCGTGTGAATGT